ATACCTTATATAATATGTTTTCATATTAGGATAACAATAGGGTTTCTAAAATAAATGGGTCAAACTTAAGACATAATTAAGAAATAAAATATATGAGAAAAATGTAAATAAAAAATATTAATACAGATGTAATTTAATAAGAATAAAGAATAACACTGAAAAGGGAAATAATGGAGCAGGTCAAATGTGAGTGGTAAAAAGATTAAACTGAATATTAAATGAAATACATCCTGTATTATCTCATTTGATTTTACACCAGGTAACATTACGTCACAATTGTTGAACCGTAGAGTAACAAGCCGTGCCTCATCATATTGATGCTTTTCACAGTGTTTTTATTTAAGTTGTCTGCCAAAAAACACAATAAGTGACATTTAATAAAACCTTATTGTACTTGTCACATGATTATTCAGTATGAAAACAAGTTACTCTGGACTATAATAAGGTGCAATACAGAAAAACAGCCAACTAGAATCCACTCTTATTATTGGAGGTAAACACCTATAGAGTGTTAAACGCAGTGAGAGGCTCCAGTGAGTTGCCTGCAGTGTTTCTGCTTTATAAATCAACATGATGTATACAGTCAACACACATCAGCAGTCACAGTTAGAACAACAGCTCAGCTGTACTGCAGCTACAATAAATTGATTTTAAATGAAGTGCCGAGTACCTGGCAGCGCGACAAGACAGTTAACATCGCATCACAACTCACAAAAAAACACACTTTTCAGCAGTTTAAAACTTCCAGGGCAGAGGGTGATCATGGATAATGTTTAAAAACGTGATAACAGAAGGAAGCATCTACTTTTTTTCCGCGGCTGTGATCAGAGTTCTTCCAAACCATTTGTTTCTGGATGGAGGACTCTGGCTTTTCTGTGTTAATGTTGCCCCAAAAAGCTTAGGACAAAATGATTCCTCTACATCAGGGGTGTCAAACTCAATTTCCTCTCGGGCCACATTAGCATCATGGTTGCACTCAAAGGGCAATGTTTTATATATAAGACTATATAAAAATACATTTATAAATATTTAATATATATAGAATAATGTATTATATTACATTATTGCCTCTGCATTGGATTATTATCGGATAGGGTAATAACTTCATAATTAACTACGTCTGAAAGCAGAATAGGGCAAATAATTGCATGTCTCTTCAGTGAGAATGTCACAAAATGATTTTAAAAGAAAAGCCAAATTCTGGAGAAAAAAAAGTCAAAATCCAAAAAAAAAGTCAAATTTTGAAAATAAGTGATATTTTGCAAAAAAAAATAACATTTTGAGGGGAAAAAGTAAAATTCTGAGAAAAATGGCAAATTCTGAGAAAGAAGGCATATTTGAGATGCATTGTGGGACATAGTTTATGGGCAACGTGCCCCCGGGCCTTGAGTTTGACACCCCTGCTCTACATATTATCTTTAAATAATTGGGACAGTATTCTTGTTGGGTGAATGAAATAATACAAACTAATTGTAACTGTTTATTGGGGGGGTGTGGTGCAGTGGGTTGTGCGTTGGTGTTCAGATCAGGGGGTCACAGGTTCAAACCCCACTGCAGTCAGCATGTCGTTGTATGCCTGAGACACTTCACCCCAAATTGCTCCTGTGTGGATTGCCCACAGTATTGAGTAAGTCGCTTTGGATAAAAGCGTCTAACAAGTAACATGTAATGTAATGTTATTGCCTCTATAATAACAGGATTAATTTTCTTATGCAGACACTTTTTGTGCAGATAGGATAACTTCTTACAAAAAACGTTCAGCCTCAAACTTGAATTGTTAAAATGTTTTGCCTAATCTTAATTAAAAGAATACTTTTACACAAAGGAGCTTGTATTTTTCATTGAGGTTTGAAGTCTACAAGCTGCATGTTTGGCCTCAGATTTGCAGCTCTCTCTCTCTCTGACAGAGACAGGGGTTTGTGGGTAAAGACAAACTAAATGCCATGAGGGACGTGATAACCCACCCATGGCATTCAACAGTTCAAGTTTCCTGCAGGACTCAGCGCACTCTGTTCTTATTTCTGTTGTTTTTTTCGTGCAGGGGCAACCGACAAAATGTGGGCGATGAACTTTAACTTTTGCGTGTTGGAGTGCTTTCTTTTCAAATCATGTATGCTTTTTTTCAGCGACTCCATGATGCACATATTGGAGCAGAAATCGAAGTTTCCCAGTAAAAAAAAAACCGTGTAATTTCAGCCACTTTCTGTCAAAACGTCCCTCCATGCAAAGCAGATGACATGAGCAAAGTCAAGTTGTCCTTTAATCAAGCTAGACAATTATACATTGATTATAAAAATACTCCATTACAAGTACAAGTCCTGATTTTAAGAAGTTATTTAAGTTAACTCTTGTACCAGATACATGGACATGTGGCAGTAGAGACACTAGATACTAATATGAACCTGAAAAAGAGCAGAATAAAGCCTCTTTAAATACAAACTAACTCTGCCTTGTTCTCCGATTATTGCTTGAGTCCTATTGTTGTGCAGCTTTTACAGAAAATACATATTGACTAAAATAACGTATGGATTGTCAAACCAAAGTAAAATACAGAGCATAATTATTCAGAGTTTGGAAAATACATTTTTCCTCGTAGAAGTAATTGAGAACTGAGGTGGTATATCTTCAGAGGGGCTGAGAAGGGAGGTGAAGCGTTGTGGACAATGGAGAGGCTGCATGTGAGGATGAAAAGGGTGTGTGTGTGTGTGTGTGTGTGTGTGTGTGTGTGTGTGTGTGTGTGTGTGTGTGTGTGTGTGTGTGTGTGTGGAGGGGTTAGGTGATTGATCTGAGGCTCCTAATGATACCTGTGGTTTCAAGCAGAGGAAGTAAATGTCTGCTAAGCATTTCATTTCCCAGGAGGCACTTTGGATACGTGTGGATGAGCCGGTGGAGAACGTTCAGGATCGATTTAGCTTTTGTCCGACCGAGAGACAATCCTCAATTCGCTGCTCCGACTGAACTCCATGCTCACCTTGATCAACCCTCAAGACAGAGAGTGAATGAGTTGTGATGTGTTGAGACACTCTGTTAGCAGCTAATGAGAGACGGCTGGCAAAGGCTGTTTTTAATTGGATGTGCACTGACGAGAATAAAATGTAAAGAAATACGATGAATGTCAAGTAAAAGAGAATTAGTGTTGTTGTATAACTCTCTATTTCTGTTGGTCGTCTTTAAAAATGAAAGATGTTTCTGTTTGTTTTGTGTGTTAAATCATCACAAGGAAAACATGTTAAATAGTATATAACCAATAATGACTTTAAAATGAACGTTGATATGCTATTCTATTATTCCCAATACATTGGAGTCTGGAATATTTTAGCAAACGCTCTGCACGTGTTGACAGGGTAGTGAAGATGTTTCTTCTAATGTCGTCTTTTTCATATATTTCAACCCTTTGAAAAAATAAAGGAATAATAATGACTTCATTATTTGTGTTTTTGCATTTGAGGTAACCAGCCTGCTCTTCTTCACTTTACCGGAGGCGGCTGCTTTGTTGACATTGTGGCATGAAAACAACATCTCAAGTGTAGTGTCCTCAAAGTCTATGACAACCCCAAACATTTAGCTAATGGGCAAAACTTCCTCGAACGAAACACATTCAGAAATGGAAATGTAGCAAAAGCATCCGTTGGAATTTTTCTTAATTCATGTTAAAACTATGTCATTTAGATGGTATAATGCATGGGGCGTTAAGATGAGAAAACGTATTTGTCATGGTTTTGGATTTATGTGGTTTTAATTTTCCACCTTTTATTTTGAAATGTTTTCATCCTTTTGTCTTGTCTGGTCCTACTTCCTGTGTTTGCCTTCCCTAGTGTTTCTGATTGTCTGATTGTGTTCACCTGCTGCCCTTGTGTTTCTGCCTCCCCTGCCCAGCTGTGTCTTGTCCTGTGATTACCCTTCTGTGTATTTAGTCTTGTCTTCCCCTGTGCTCCATGTCTGTTCGTCGTCTTTCCATGTCCATGCTACCTTTCGTCTCTCCTCGTCTATGTTACCTGCCAGGGTAAAACGAAGACAGGGAAAAACAAGAAACTACTTAACAAAAACAAAACTGGGGAGCACGACAAGAACAAACGTACAGACGGGAACAGGCAGGTGACATGGACAAGCATAGACGAGGCAGGGAACATGGACATCAAGAGACGTCTTGATGTCCATGTTCCCTGCCTCGTCTATTCTTGAGTGCATTTGCTAATATGGGCTTGTTCCCTATTTGTCTCCTGCTGTGTCTTTCCACTAAAGACCTGTTGCAGAATCACAAAACCCTGTTCCCTTTGCCCTCTTCTCACACGTGTGACAAATCAAAACTGCATGATTAATGGAGCTTCTTTGGCTACTTCGCTAACAATGGTGCTGACAAAGTATGAATTAAAGGAAGAAATACAACAAAGAGACAGAGGGTAGATAAAAAGACTAGATGCATCCTCCAAAGGGGGAAGAAGAACGTGCACATTATGCAGACCGAATGCACAACACAAATCAACGGTGTAATTGCTCCGTGCAGGTTCAAAAACCTTTTGAAAGTTTTTGTTTTGGAGTTCAAAGTGTCTTCTTCTTGGCTGGTTTCCAAAGATCTATTTCACTTGAACAAGCTACCAAATACAAGGCTTGTTTCCCCAACCCAATGTTATCAATACATTGGGGGTAGGGGCGCTAGTCGTTATTATTTAAGACATTTTCTTTGGGGGGGGATTTAGGACTCATCTAAAGCAACAAATAGACAAAGTTAGGAAAATAAACTCCTAAATTAGGATTTTGACGAGATGTAATGGAAGCAGAATACTCTCAAAATTGCATAACAAATGAAACGCGATATTCTTGCATGAAGTCTCTCGCCAGATAACCCCCACCCGATGACTCTAACACTCGCTCGCCATTCCCAATTTGATGCACATAAACGCGCAGCTTTGACGTTGATGCGCAGGTATAAAATGCGGTGGGGGTCTCGGGTAGTATAAGAGGTGAACACACACACGCACACACACTCACTCACACACACACTCACACTCTGAACTGACCTGCCTCTCTATCTGGATAGAAACACTGGGAACCATCTCAACCCTTTTTACGCACAGCCTCTCTTCTACAATTGTTTGGGGGAAACTCCTCCGCTTTTTCGGACCTTCCCTCTTTCTTTTTAATTGTGAAAGTAAGTTTTCATCAGCATGGAGCCCTACACGGTCCCCGGGGCGCAGCTTTCCCTGGCCGACCTTTACTCCGTCATCCCCTACAATGTCACCTTCCCGGACGAGGGTTTCCTGCCCAACAACGACACCGATGCTCCGGTTCCCGGGGCTCGCAGCGCCGCGGGGCTGATCATCGCCATCTCCATCACGGCTCTGTACTCCGTGATCTGCGTGGTGGGGCTGCTGGGAAACGTGCTGGTGATGTACGGGGTAGTCAGGTAATACACACTGTATGTTAATACAGGCACTGCTTATTTAAAAGCACCAGTATGACTCTGATAAAGCAAGATTTAATTGGAAATGTAACCCACAATAACTCATTTTGGTGTCGTTATGATGCAACTTAGTCACTTTTAGACTTTAGGATGAACATTGTTTGTTTATTGTGTGTGAAGCATAGTGTTTTTTTGCAGCCAAAGCCACATTTTCATTTTATGTAAATGTAAAGGACATTAAAGTAATTTGAATCGTTCTGGTCATGTACAGGGTGCAAGGTTTGGCATTGAAAGCATTGAACTTGATTTAAAGCACCAGTATGAATATGATGAGCAATATTATATGGGAAATTCACCCAAAAGCACTCATAGTGTCATAATAGTCTAACTGCCATAGTCACTTTTGGGAGTTTAAGATGCACATTTGTTTGTGTATGTTGTGCTGGTGAGAAAAGTGCCGGAGACAGATTTCCATGTTCTGTAAATGTAAGCAATTTGTTGCATTCAAATGTATCTTTTATTTCGAGGTCTATCGACCAATCATTGCAGCTCTGGCTTGACGCCATGAGGAAGTGACATTTTCAACCACCATTTGCTCAAAGAAATTAGTCTATAAACAAGAATAACAAGAATATGCATTATGTAAAGCCCTAGGATCAGTATGGGGTCTTTCTTAAATGTTGCAATAGCATTAGTTTCCCCATAGACAGCTGGTTGCATGCACATCAGTCTCTATGAGGGTGATGGAGAAGGTGGAGCTATGCTTGCATGCAAACCTGTCTGCATTGTGTGTGAACTGCCTGCATCCCTAACAAGGTACCCTGCATAAAGCATGAAATTGTTCTTTCATTATTTCTACATGGAGGAACAACATTTTTTCTAAAAGGGTTGGTGGCAGTCCCAGAATCAGCTGGGTTTAGAGTGTGTTTGCTTAAAACAACATATTTTAGTGTTTAAATATGTAAACTAAGGTATTTAAGGCCAAAAGGCTGAACGGATGTTGTGCACTAGGGCATGTGTTCAGTATAATAGTCAGTCTGAGGTCACAGTTTCCCCTTCAGCTCTAAAAGCATCACAACTCACATTGACACCAGATAAAACCCACCCTGTCATTTCCCCAGAAGCCATCCAGACCTAACTTGTATGCTTATCAGGAAAAAAGCCGCTTTGCCGATAGAGGCTCTCATCGTGTTAATTATACTAATCTCAAACACTCTCTGTATACGTGTTTCCAACCAAAGTATCACCTGAAGCAGTAATTGCTGCAGCTGGGCTGGCAAATTAAACAAGCAGGTAATTTCAGAAGGAAAAGCAGAGGGGGATAAACAGCCCACGAGCGAGACACTACAGGATAAATCTGCAGTGGCCGACAGGTGCAAATCTGCTACAACGGCCCAAAACTCTTCCATTAGGAGAAACGCGCTGCAGCTTCAAAAACGATGCAAATATAAAAACACAAATGTGCCTAAACACAAGAAGCATCTTCACCAACTTGACCACACATGCAGCATTTAGTAAAAGAGCATAAAGGAAACGCTGCGAGAAGCTCCGAACACAACGGAAACCAGGGGACACTAAAAGGTGATAGTTGGCCAGCTTTATAATCCCCGAACGTCACCAAGTGCTCCGGTCCCAGCTGTGTGCGTCACTTTTTAGTGTCCCCTGGATTTCTGTTGTGTTTTGAGCTTCTTGCCGAGTTATATATCAAACAGAATAAAACAGCATGACACTACAGGCTAAAATGTACACGATATAAGATATAAAATCTAAATGGTTCCTTCAATATATGCAATGACATGGAGAAACAGAGAGAGAACACACAAAAGATGGAGCTGAATATTGAAAAAGCCACAAGCAAGCTGGAAGTTCTGGCTATTAAACCAAGAAAAAAGTCATAAATATTTACAACACTGCCTATAATTTGCATACAGGAGTTTGGAGTTCAAATGATTGGCCAAACAAGGCGAAAGACAAGTAAAAGAAGGCACTGAGGGAAATAAGAAGGACGCAGAGAGGAGATGGGTGGGAGCTCGGGGCGAAGGCAGTGAATCAAACAGCCAGTCTTCCTCCAGCGAGTGTTTTTGTGAGTGAGGAGAGAAAAGACTGAGAGCATTAACTATCCAAGACAAGATATATAACCTCCTGTGGAACATCTGCAAACTCTGAGGGGAGCAAACTTGAAGAAACAAGAATCCAGTGCTGGAATCTAGAAAGAAAGCTGGGTAAACACTTGACTTCAAGTCCTCGTTCATTTTTCTGTAGCTTTTTAAAACTTCCTGTGATGCATGGAACAATAATCGACATAAAGGAGGCTTGTTATCTTTACCACGGGCCCTATTCTGCTTATTTTCAGGTTCATATTTGTATGTAGTGCCTCAGCTGGGACATGTCTCCATGCGTTAATGTTGAGAATCAGAATCCCTGTATTCGTCCCACAGAGGGGAAATGTGTTTGTTGCAGCAAGAAAAGAGCCAAAGAAAGTATAATATTACCTAAGAAGCATGCATTAAACAAATTATAAAAGCTCTTTATTTTTCTCATACTGCCTGAGCTGCAGCACCTCTTTTCACCCTCTGTCTGAAACCAGAGCCCTGTCTGCTCTGATTGGTTAGCTGGCCGGCTCTGTTGTGATTGCTCAACCGCTTAGAGATGTCCCGCCCCTTAGCCTATCACGTAATGTGTTGGAGCTCTAGCCAATAGCAGCATGAGTGTTACATAGTGATGTCACAATGTTCTGGACGTAAACAAAGGAGTTCAATGGAGGCGTTTCAGGGGGAGTGTGTGGGGGCTTCCTAATAGAACCCCCTCCCAAAAAAAGTTGTTGAAACATGGCTACATTTCCACAAGGCAACTGAGTTATCGGCATGGCAACTGAGCAGACTCCATTTGTCAAGGTAGACTGAGATGTGGTTGACATTGCTGGAGAACCTTGAGTCTAGATGTGTTTTTTCTAGCAACTCTTTCCAATGTCAACAATGACCTAGCAGGCCTGGGTTTCCACAGGGCCGGATTTATACATCATAAATATAACTCAGATAACCTTGTATACATTCAAAGATCCCGTCCTTTAACCATTAATGTTCAGGGATGCAAATAACAACAATAATTAAAACTGCGGTCACAGATGCGTGCGCAGTGATGAGCGGGCCCTCGCGTCCGTGCGCCTGTCGGGGAGGGCAGCCGGTCGTCCCGGCGTCAAGCAGACGCCTCCGAAATGAGCCGTTTGGGCATTTCTATAATTGTCGCATCCCAGACTCCCAGGTTCTCCGGCAGCGACCCGGAAACGGATGTCGATTATCGAGGGTACACTGAAGTATTCTCCGGAGACGATTTCAGCCAACAGTGATGTTTAAAAGAGGCGTGACGCATGGCTGGACTTATGTCAACGAAGCACAGCTCTGCAAACTGTTCCCGTTGTGATTATAAGTTATTTAAGATGATCAAATGTGCATCAGACTGTCTGCCCTTTACCGTTTGTTTACTCACTAATCACATCTCCCCTGGATGTTAGGCTATTTTTTTTTTTAATATAACTGCTTTCATTGTGAGGCGATGTTTACAGTGAGAACAGCTGCTGAGGTCAGTGCAGAAAGCAGAACAGTGTGTAGGCTATAATATAACTGCAATTCTACAATCTAGTATTTGAGACATTATTGCATTTTTATTTGTGGGTCAGATTGCAGAGAAGCAACAGATTTCGGACCATATAAGATCACATGACATTGAATTACATCCCGTTATATTTGGATTGTGATGGAATATCCTGGAAGTCAGCAGGAGTTATTGTGGAATAAATATTATTTCAGATAAACTAAAAGGTGGCTATTAAGAAGCCTACTGTATGAATTCAGACAGGATGCTCATACTGTAAATATTCTGTAAGTATAATATGATATAAGATAATGCAGTATAATATAATCGTGTAATATTATATTTTGGGGAAGACGGAAGGATAAATCTACAGATTGAGTCAACACAGCTTGAGGAAGACATTTTCTTTTTGTCAGGGACTGGGAATTTGGCTGAAAATATCATAGCATTGGGCAGCATGAGAGATGAAGTCTGTCGTTCTCTTCTTCTCTGAGAATAAAAAGTCTCCTCTGAGGAGGCGTCACTAATTCTACCTCTGAGGTGGATTCACTGCAGCGAAGAGTAAAAGCCCTCCTTGGGAGAAATGAGAAAAAAAGTGTCATTATCCCAGAGTACGTGCACATGTAATTGGCAGTTGCTGGTAATGCTTACTCTGCAAAAACCAGGCTGACTGAATACTTTCAGAGGAAATCAATGATATATTCACCAACTGGAATTACATAAGGCACTGTGGAAAAGAGAGTGGAAAAGCTGGATGAGCATAGATCGTGTGTGTGTGTGTGTGTGGCCTAGCATTACTATACTTGTGGGGACCTAAATCTGTTTACACAGTCACGTGTGGGGACTCGCCTCCCTTATGTGGACAAAATGGAGGTCCCCATGAGGGGAATCATTAATTTTAGGGTGAAGACTTGGTTAGGTTTAGGATTAGGGTTAGAGTAAGGGTTAGGGTTAGGCATGTGTTGGTTATGGTTAAGGTTAGGATAAGTCTCCAGGAAATGCATGTAAGTCAATGTAATGTCCCCTGAAGTGATGTATACATGGTGTGTGTGTGTGTGTGTGTGTGTGTGTGTGTGTGTCTGTTTATTTCCTGGGCTGAGTCAACATGGCCGCAGTGTCTTTTCCATCTCCCCCAGCAGCGTTTCAGAGTGTGTGTGTGTGTGTGTGTGTGTGTGTGTGTGTGTGTGTGTGTGTGTGTGTGTGTTAGCCTTCAGCCCTGAAAACACAGCAGAGTCAAGCACGACAAAGAAAGGATTGATGTTGTTACACATGGAAGTGTAACATCGAGTGGTGTAGAGAGAAAAGATCAGGACTGATGTCAAAGCTAATCTCTAATCTCTGTAGCTGAGTGTGCATCTGTGTGCTGCTCCACAAATTACAAATAGCAGAACAATTTAAGTCAAAAGGTAAAG